TCCAGTGTCCAGTTCCAGCAAACAATCCCTCTCTCTGACACATGGCATATGGAAAGCCAAGTGAATCCTAATCTATCTAGAATGTATACATGTGCTTTTCATCTGTTGAGAACCACAGACATAAACAGTTGGTACAAGGATTCATTAGGGCTGCAACTACCTCCTCCTGAAAAAAAATGTATAATATCTCAAAGGATTACCCCCTCACCCGCTTAATAGGAAATCTGATACAAAACAGGAGCTTTTTTGTTGAGTTCCAGGGCCAGAGAAGCAGATGGCGAAAACTGTCTCAGGGGAGTGTGCTTGCTTCATCAATGTTTAACATTTACACAAATGAACAGCCACTGCCAGAAGGGACAGAGAGTGCCATCTATGCTGACGATTGTGCCATCACCGCTCAAGCAGGGAGCTTTGAAATGGTTTAACAGAAGCTCTCTGAAGCTTTAGGTGCTCTTACTGCCTATTGCAGGGAAAACTAACTGATTCCTAATTCATCTAAAACAAAAACGTGTGCTTTACTTCTTAAGGACAGACAAGCAACTCAAGATCTGAGAATTACCTGGGAAGGAATCCAACTAGAGCATTGCAGCACACCTAAATACCTGGGAATCACTCTGGACCACGCTCTGACTTACAAGATGCACTGCTTGACTATCAAGCAAAAAGTGGGTGCTAGAAATAATATTGACTGGCACAACCTGGGATCACAACCAGGTTGGCTTTTTTTGCCACCACATCACATTGTTGGCTCATGTTTAACTTGTTGTCCACAAGGACTCCAGGATCTTTTCCACACGTACTGCTCTCAAGCCAGGCGTCCCCCATTCTATATCTTTGCATTTTGTTTTCTCTGCGTAAGTGGAGTATCTTGCATTTGTGGTATCCTTGATGGTATCCTTGAAGTGACTGGCTTGACCTTGAAGGAGCTGGGGGTGGTAGCTCTGGCGTGGACTGGTCCATGAAGTCACAAAGAGTTGGAAACGACTGAACGAATGAACAACAACAACACAACATCCTAAGGGAGTTTTGTGACCACTCAGCTTCCTTCATGCTAAACTAGTTTTTCAAGCGCTGGGCAGTTTTCTATACGGCGGAGAAATGCAGAGCCCATACCAACATCTCGTTAGGAGTAAATATCTCTGGATGTAGTACTTCAAGGAGGGGGTCCTTGCTCTTCTCCATCCCGTCTCTTCTCCATCTCTAGGGGTTCTCACCCACCCACCCGAGCAGCACCAGTGACATAAAACATTTTCCAAAGGCTAATATTAGTTCCAGATGCCGGTAAGCCATTTCAGTTTGTGCCTCGCCCTGTAAAACACACGCCGGCACACACACAAACTTCTTTCTTTTAGTTGCAGAGCCCGCTCCTACAATGACATCATCGGCTTCCTTGCTACGGCCTCACATGCAATTCATTCCTGCAGGCTTCCACTACGGTTTAAGAGACATGCCTCCAGTGTTGGCTAACATCTTTGGAGGCAAGAAAGGTCCTTCTTGACCGCTGTGGACAGCGCATCCCTCTCTGTTCAAAGGAAGTTTCTCTGATCCTCCAACCACCTCCAAAAGTGAAAGGTATGCTTATAATGTAAGGAATCCACTATCAAATATTTCAGTGTGCTTCTGAGGGACTACGCTGACCATAGGATGCATATCTGGCAGTGCTGATGGGGCCTGTGTCAAAAAGGTCAAATGCCTCATCGAACTATAAAACACAGGATCCAAAGACCTGATCCAGGACCATTCCCCATGTAGTAGACTGAAAGCCAAAACCAAGGTCACAACAACATCTGTTATAGAACTCCAATATGCCGATGATAACATAGTCTGTGCACATTCAGAAGAACTACAAATCACTCTAAACACTTTTGCAGAAGCATATGAGAAGCTCAGTTTCTCATTGAACATCGAGAAAACAAAAGTGCTCTTCCAGCAGTCGCAAGCCAATCCCATAGAACTCCAATATGCTGATGATAACGTAGTCTATTGCTGAAGGCTTTCATGGCTGGAATCACTGGGTTATGAACATTTTGGCCCAGAATTCCAGTATATAGCAGCAGGAGGAAAAAATATACTGGGTTGTTGTAGGTTTTTTCGGCTATATGGCCATGTTCTAAAAGCATTCTCTCCTGATGTTTCGCCTGCATCTATGGCAAGCATCCTCAGAGGTAGTGAGGTTACCTAACGTAGTCTGTTTGCATTGAGAAGACCTACAAATCACTCTCAACACTTTTGCAGAAGCATATGAAAAGCTCAGCCTCTCATTGAACATCGAGAAAACAAAAGTGCTCTTCCAGCAGTCGCAAGCCAATCCCATAGAACTCCAATATGCTGATGATAACATAGTCTGTGCACATTCAGAAGAAGACATACAAATCAAGCACTTCTTCAGAAGCATATGATAAGCTCAGCCTCTCATTGAACATCGAGAAAACAAAAGTACTCTTCCAGCAGTCGCAAGCCATTCCCATAGAACTCCAATATGCTGATGATAACGTAGTCTATTGTCAAAGGATTTCATGACCGGAATCACTGGGTTGTTGTAGGTTTCTTCAGGCTATATGGCCATGTTCTAGAGGCATTCTCTCCTGACGTTTCACCTGCATCTATGGCAAGCATCCTCAGAGGTAGTGAGGTTACCTAACGTAGTCTGTTTGCATTGAGAAGACCTACAAATCACTCTCAACACTTTTGCAGAAGCATATGAGAAGTTTTGCCTCTCATTGAACATTGAGAAAACCAAAGTGCTTCTCCAGCAGTCACTAGCCAAACCCATAGAACTCCAATATGCCGATGATAACATAGTCTGGTCGCATTCAGAAGAAGACCTAGATGTCCCAGATTGTTTCATTCACACCTAGCTCCAGCAGACAAGAGTCCTTTGTCCCACCCTGGTCATTCCACAGATATATAAACCCATTTTCCTACTTCCAACAGACCTCACTACCTCTGAGGATGCTTGCCAGAGATGCAGGCAAAACATCATGAGAGAATGCCTCTAGACCATGGCCACATAGCCCGAAAAAACCTACAACAACTAAGTAAGTAAAATACCCAGCCCAGCTCCATAGCATCATCCCCAACTGTACAAAGAGTACATTTCACTTGTTATTGGGAGGTTTTGAAAAAGTAGAATAGAGGGAAGGTCTTCCAAACATGATTTTCATGCCTGGACTGCCTTTACTCCCATTTGAAAATACAACACCTTGACAGTGACAAGGACAACACAAACTGTCCGAGAATCTAGCGTAACTGAGAATTCTCAAGGCTTGGGATGTGCTGCCCTCTAGACGTCTTTAAGAGAACTTGCTCCATTTCAGAGGGAGGCTGTAGGAAGAGTATTGAAGTTGTTGGGTGTCTACAAGTCATTCCCAACATATGGTGACTACAAGGTGAATCTACCCCAGAGTTTTCTACTACAAGGTGAATCTACCCCAGAGTTTTCTACGGCTGAGAGTGCATGCCTTGCTCATGGCCAAGCAGGTCTCCAATGTCATTGTCCAACATTCAAACCATCGCACCATGCTAGCTGTACAGATATATTTGTGAATATCTTCATCTATAGTTATGCACATATGTATATAAATACTAGCCGTCCCCTGCCAGGCATTGCTGTGGCCCAGACTGGTGATCTGGAAAATAAAGTGATGAGGAAGTGTTTTTTTCTAGTATAAGTAACTTCTCTATGCTTGTGGGTAAACAGTATTTCTTGTTGTTTGTCAGTATTGATGTAAAGATTGTCTGGTTTGCCCACTCTGGAACATGCAACATATAATTGGGTTGTTGTAGGTTTTTTTGGGCTATATGGCCATGTTCTAGAGACATTTTCTCCTGACGTTTCGCCTGCATCTATGGCAAGCATCCTCAGAGGTAGTGAAGGTCTGTTGGAATTAGGAAAAAGGGGTTTATATATCTGTGAAATGACCAGGGTGGGACAAAGGACTCTTGTCTGCTGGAGCTAGGTGTGAATGTCTCAACTGACCACCTTGATTAGCATTTGATTGCCTGGCAGTGCCTGGAGCAATATTTTGTTGAGAGGTGATTAGATGTCCTTGTTTCCTCTCTGTTGTTGTGCTGTTCTAATTTTAGAGTTTTTAAATACTGGTTGCCAGATTTTGTTCATTTTCATGGTTTCCTCCTTTCTGTTGAAATTGTTCACATGTATTTAAAAACTCTAAAATTAGAACAACACAACAAAAGAGGAAACAAATGAGGACAACTCCCAACACACACACACACACATATACATATACACAAACACACATATACATATATGTGTGTGTGTATGTATATGTATATGTGTATGTGTATGTATGTATGTATACACATACTAGCTGTCCCAGCCATGCATTGCTGTGGCCCAGTCTGTGTATATGTGTTTTGTGTGCATATATATTTGTGCATGTGTTTGTATATATTTGCATATATGCATATTTATGTGGTTTTGCACATGCGTTGTAATGTATTTTTTTTAATTTTTTGGCTTTATAAGTCTCTCCCACTGTGCTTTTCAGTGTTTTTATGAGTGATGATCACTTGTTGGCCTGATAGGTGTATTGTGTCCAAATTTGGTGTCAATTCGTCCAGTGGTTTTTGAGTTATGTTAATCCCACTAATGAACATTACATTTTTATTTATATTGATAGATGTATATTTTAATGCATAATTTTGGAGCAAACTTGTTTTCTGCTGCCCTGGAGACTAGGATGCAATGGAGCAACGGCTTCAAACTACAGGAAAGAAAGGAGATTCCACCTGAACATTAGGAAGAACTTCCTAACTGTAAGGAGAACGGTTCAGCAGTGGAACTCTCTGCCCTGGAGTGTGGAGGAGGCTACTCCAAGCATAGCCTGGATGGCCATCTGTTGGGGGTGCTTTGAATGCGATTTTCCTGCTTCCTGGAAGGGGGTTGGACTGGATGGCCCAGTAGGTCTATTCCAACTCTATGATTCTATGATTCACTCTGGTTGCCCTTCAACTTGTTAGAGGAAGATCTGACTCACCTGTGTAGAGATCCGTATCTGTGTACTCATCAACCTTTTTATGATGCAAGATGTAGTCTGAGACTTTTGTTCCGATGGCCAACTGGATATCTAGCCACTCCAAGGACACAACCGTGCTAGAAGGTTCAACATGGGGGGAGAGTCGCAACCTGGGTTGGAGGACAGAGAAACTAGGGTTATTTCTGCATCTCATCCACCTGAAGACCCAACGTTTTCATCAACCTATTTGTGAACCTATAAAAACAACCACAACAATACTATTTATATTCCACCCTTTCTCCCTGAAGGGACCCAGGTAACGGTCTTGAGCGTTGACTTCATTTATTAGCATATTTCTTGTTTCTGATCCATCTCTAAAGACCACAAGACGGACCACAATAAAATATATTTACCCAATATAGGACAATTTCAAACAATTTCAAAAAACAAACTAGTTGGCTAGTTGTCCAAAAAGAAATACTTACACCGGTTGGGGGAGAGGGCTGCAGTTGGGGAGTCCGTTCTCATCAAAGGCATTGAGGTCACATCGGCACCAGTCCTCAATCACGTCTCCTTTCCCCGAGCACCAGTATGAACTCATGAGGGCCCCCTTGAAAGCCTGGAAAGAGCAAGAAATGGGTGGTTTGGAGGTCATTACTAACTGGCATCAAGTCAACTTTGACTTAGTGTCTCTATGAACGAGAGACCTCCAAATCAACCTGTCACCAACAGCCCTGCTCAAGTCTTGCAGACTCAAGATAGAGATGGCTCCCTTGGTCCAGTCTTTAGTAGTGTACATATCTTCTCATGATATGTACGAAGTCTTAGTTGAGTTAGCTTGGTATCTACAGAGAATTCAGGCTTGATTTGCTCTAGAACCCATTTTTTGTTATTCAGTCTCCTCCAGGACCATCAGTGATTCCCAACCTTTTTTGACCAGGAACCCCTTGACCAAGGACCACTTAACCAGGGACCACTTTGACCAGGGACCAATTTGACCAGGGAACATTTGACCAGGGGCCACTTGTCCAGGGTCCATTTTGACAAGGGACCTTTTGACCAGTGACAACTTTGATGAGGGACCACTTGACCAGGGACATATTTGACCAGAGACCAATTTGATGAGTTACCACTTGACCAGGGTCCTCTTTGACCAGGGACCACTTTGATGAGGGACCACTTGACCAGGGACCTCTTTGAACAGGGACCACTTTGATGAGGGAACACTTGACCAGGGACCTCTATGACCAGGAACCACTTTGATGAGGGACCATTTGACTAGGGACTGCTTGAACAAGGACCACTTGGCCAGGGACCATTTTGACCAGGGACCCCTTGACCAATGACTTCTTTGACCAGGGACCACTTTGACCAGGGACCACTTTGACCAGGGACCACTTGACCAGGGGCCACTTTGACAAGGGACAATTTGACCAGCAACAACTTTGATGAGGGACCACTTGACCAGGGACCATTTTGACCAGCAACCATTTTGACCAGGGACCACATTGACCAGGGACTATTTTGAACAGGGACCACTTGACCAGGAAGCACTTGACCAGGGACCTCTTTGACCAGGGACCACTTTGATGAGGGACCTCTTGAGCAAGGAACACTTGACCAGGGACTACTTGACCAGGGACCACTTTGATGAGGGACCTCTTGAGCAAGGACCACTTGACCAGGGACTACTTGACCAGGGACCACTTTGACCAGGGACCATTTTGACCAAGGACTTCTTTGAACAGGGACCACTTTGGTGAGCGACGATTTGACCAGGGATCAATTTGACCAGTGACGACTTGACCAGCAACCATTTTGACTAGCGACCATTTTGACCAGGGACCACTTTGACCAGGGACCTCTTGACCAGGGACCACTTTGACTAGGGACCACTTGACCAGGGACCACTTTTAACAGGGATCACTTTGACAAGGGACCACTTGACTAGGGACCACTTTGACCAGGTACCACTTTGACCAAGGACCACATTGACCAGGGACCACTCTCCAACATTAGTACCAAAAGCATTACGAATCGATTTTTGGTCAACATTAGATCTGGTTTGGTTATTTGGGGTGCTGAGTCAGAAAATGGCATTGGATAGACCACATCAGCTCTAGTTTCTGATACAAAACATATACCATCCAGTAGTCACCATCTGCTCACCCACAGAAAACCATATTTAATGAGCCTCAGGAGCCCCTGGTGGCACAGTGGGTTAAACCCCTGTGCTGGCAGGACTGAAGACCGACAGGTTTGAATCTGGGGAGAGGCAGATGAGCTCCTTCTATCAGCTCCAGCTCCTCATGTGGGGACATGAGAGAAGCCTCCCACAAGGATGATAAAAACATCAAATCATCCAGGCGTCCCCTGGGCAATGTCCTTGCAGATTGCCAATTCTCTCACACCAGAAGTGACTTGCTCCTGACATGACCAAAAAAATGAGCCTCAGCAACATAAGAGGTTTTCATGAGACCATTCACTCTCATTGCAATGGTGAGGCCATGAACCATATTTTAGTTCTTGCGGACCACTGGTGGTCCATGGACCACAGGTTGGGAACCACTGCTAATGAGTTGATTCTCTTCCTATCAACTTACTTTGTAGCTTTCACAAACCTACATATAAACAGGAAACACTATGGTCTGGACCATTCCTTGACTATCAGATTAAGGACTGCAAACAGTAGTTTTAAAAAGAGAGGTTTCCTTTAAGATAGCTATCAAAACAAAGAATATAAATAGAACCCAGTGCAACGCTCCCAACTGTTTGGGGTTTGGTCTGTTTCCCCAAACAGACAGCTGCCTCGAACAGGGCACCCTGAGTCACTCCCATCTGCTATTCCTTGCTTTCCAGATGCTTGGGAAATGTGCCCATTTGGGCCAAAAAGAAACGGAGGAAGAGATGGAACAGAAGCTAAAGTGATAATCCGATTTCATTTGTTAGATTTAGATCATAACCAAAAGGTCAGAAGAGGGATGGGTTCAGAGGATTTAGAAATTAAATAATCATCGGCATTAGGCAGACGGTTGGAAAAGGAAACCGCTATGTGGGCAGGAAAGAAGAAAAGGAGCAGAGGGAAAAATACGAAAACAAGGCTGCCCATTTTAGGAGGCAAATTTACAAAGCCATAGCCTCTAAATGTATGTATGAGAGAGATCTAGTATAATTCTAAAAGTGTCAGAAGTGGCGCTATGGTCAACAAAGATACCATAGTCACCAAAGGACAGCACCCAAGTTTCCATAATATTGATCCATGGCACTTAAAGTGCTTGTCAAGATGGGTAAACTCTACGCCAGACAGATGTGGATTCATCACTGAAAAATAGTCCTCTACATCCATCCCTTCTGTCCACAATTCTCAAAACATTTCCTACTGATGTACATAGAATCATAGAATCAAAGAATTGGAAGAGACCTCATGGGCCATCCAGTCCAACCCCCTGCCAAGAAGCAGGAATTTTGCATTCAAATCACCCCTGACAGATGGCCATCCAGCCTCTGTTTAAAAGCCTCCAAAGAAGGAGCCTCCACCACACTCCGGGGCAGAGAGTTCCACTGCTGAACGGCTCTCACAGTCAGGAGGTTCTTCCTCATGTTCAGATGGAATCTCCTCTCTTGTAGTTTGAAGCCATTGTTCCACGTCCTGGTCTCCAAGGAAGCAGAAAACAAGCTTGCTCCCTCCTCCCTGTGGCTTCCTCTCACATATTTATACATGGCTATCATATCTCCTCTCAGCCTTCTCTTCTTCAGGCTAAACATGCCCAGCTCTTTAAGCCTCCTCATAAGGCTTGTTCTCCAGATCCTTGATCATTATAGTCGCCCTCCTCTGGACACATTCCAGCTTTTCAACATCTCCCTTCAATTGTGGTGCCCAGAATTGGACACGGTATTCCAAATGTGGTCTAACCAAGGCAGAATTACTTCCCTAGATCTAGACACTATGCTCCTATTGATGCAGGCCAAAATCCCATTGGCTTTTTTTGCCGCCACATCACATTGTTGGCTCATGTTTAACCTGTTGTCCACGAGGACTCCAAGATCTTTTTCACACGTACTGCTCTCGAGCCAGGCATTGTCCCCCATTCTGTATCTTTGCATTGCGTTCTTCCTGCCAAAGTGGAGTATCTTGCATTTGTCACTGTTGAACTTCATTTTGTTAGTTTTGGCCCATCTCTCTAATCTGTCAAGATCGTTTTGAATCCTGCTCCTGTCCTCTGGAGAATTGGCTATCCCTCCCAATTTGGTGTCGTCTGCAAACTTGATGATCCTGCCTTCAAGCCCTTCATCTAAGTCATTAATAAAGATGTTGAACAGGACCGGGCCCAGGACGGAACCCTGCGGCACTCCGCTCGTCACTTCTTTCCAAGATGAAGAGGAAGCATTGGTGAGCACCCTCTGGGTTCGTCCATTTAACCAATTACAGATCCACCTCACCGTAGTTTTGCCTAGCCCACATTGGACTAGTTTGTTTGCAGATAATAGATAATAGTTCTAGTAAAATGGAGAGCCACAATATACTATATGTTTTTGTGTACGAGGCTATGTGGTGAGATGGTGCCATGCCTACATTTACTGGGAAACTCCAATTTGAAGGGACCTGAAGCTATTCTGGGAGCCCTTTGGACATTCACATAGACCAGTGGTTCTCAACCTGTGGGTCCCCAGGTGTTTTGACCTACAACTCCCAGAAATCCTAGCCAGTTTACCAGCTGTTAGGATTTCTGTGAGTTGAAGGCCAAAACATCTGGGGACCCACAGGTTGAAAACCACTGATATAAACAGTTGGTCCCAAGGATTCATTAGGGCCGCAACTGTTTCCTCCTGAAAAACAAATCAATATCACAAAGGACTACCACCTCACCCACTTCATAGGAAATCTGCTACAAAACAGGAGCTTTTTTGTTGAGTTCCAGGGCCAGAGAAACAGATGGCAAAAACAGAAGAACGGCCTGCCTCAGGAGAGCGTGCTTCCTCCATCAACATTTACACAAATGATCAGCCACTGCCAGAAAGCACAGAAAGTTTCATCTGTGCTGACGATTGTGCCATCACCGCTCCAGATGGGAGCTTTGAAATGGTTGAACAGAAGCTCTCCAAAGATTTAGGTGCTCTTACTGCCTATTGCAGAGGAAACCAACTGATTCTTAATCTATCTAAAATGCAGACATGTGCTTTTCATTTTAGGAACAGACAAGCATCTCGAGCTGTAAAGATTACCTGGGAAGACATCCCAATGGAGCATTTCAGCACACCAAAATACCTGGGTGTCACTCTGGACCATGCTCTGACTTATAAGAAACACTGCTTGAATCTCAAGCAAAAAGTGGGTGCTAGAAATAATATGCAAAATCTGACTGGCACAACCTGGGGATCACAACCAGACAAATTGAAGACATCTGTCCTTGAGCTTTGTTATTCTGCTGCTCAAAAAAAGTAAAAAGCAGCACAGGGAAAATCCGAAAAAAGGCTGCCCATTTTTGGAGGCAAATTTCCAGAGCAATAGCCTCAAAATGTATGTAAGAGAGAGAGAGAGAGAGAGACTATAATTATAAAGGTGTCAGAAGTGGTGCTATGGCCAAGAGAGATATGCTGGGGAAAATAGAAGGAAAAAGG